ATAATAATAATAATAATAATAATAATAATAATACTATTTAATATATATTTTATATTATTATTATTATTATTATTATTATTATTATTATTATTATTATTATTATTATTGTCATCATTACGTTGGAGTTTATGCATTTTCATTTCTGTATTTGCAACCATTTCTTTCCCACTATATATTTACGTCTGTTCATTTGCGTCATGTAACGTTTGTCTTCGTTTCTTTGCGTCTGTTTGTTGGCCTGAAAAGCTTTGGATTTATCTGTCTGCGTCAAAATTATTTATCAGCGTCAATAATTTTGAATCTGTTTCTTTGCGCCTTATTCCTTGTCTCGTCTATTTGATTATTGTGCCTCTATATGTTTACGTCGACAGCGTCTGTTTCTTTGCATCTATTGCGTCTATTTCTGTGCGTCTAAATATTTGCGTCTGTAACGTCTATTTCTTTGCGTCTAAATATTTGCGTCTGTAACGTCTATTTCTTTGCGTCTAAATATTTGCCTATGTAACGTCTATTTCTTTTGCGTCTAAATAACTGCGTTTGTAACGTCTATTTCTCTTCGTTAATTCAAGAACAGAACTCTAATAATATCTTTAATTATATCAATAATAATTATAATAACAATAATTATTATAATAATAATATAACAAATGTAAGAAATAATACTCATTATTATTATTATTATTATTAATATAAAAATAACAATTATTATTATATAATAATAATAATTATATAATAATAATAATATTAATAATAATAATAATAATTATTATTATTACTATTATTATTATTTCAGGCACAATTTTCTCCGGATGAGCTACAAATAATAGAGTTAATAATTATTTTATTGACAATAATATTATAATGATCAATATTTTTAATAATTATTACTTTTTAATGTGGAAAAAAAATAATGTCGGGGAGAGCAAAAATAATTAACAATAATTACATAAATAAACAAAAGACAGCAATTACTAATAATAATAATAATAATAATAATAATAATAATAATAATAATAAAATAATAATATAACAATATTAATGGTCAGTGAATTATTTAATATATTATCAATAGTTTCGAATCATGTATATTTTTCACCTGATCCACTATGATGCCTGGTCTCAGACCGAGCCGCGGGGGGCGTTGACCCCCGAAACCCTCTCCAGGTAAACTCCAGGTACAATATATTGCTATTATTATTATTATTATTATTAATCATTATTATTAAGGTTATTTTTTTTTTAAATTACTATCAAAAGCCAGAGCTCAGCGCACATGACCAATATACTGGATCAATAAAACTCGTAGTTTTGTTGAGGACTTATTGATTGATGCAGGAAGCATCAGTCATATTGTGCAGGGAGCATCAATCATGCTGTGCAGGGAGCATCAATCATACTGTGCAGGGAGCATCAATCATGCTGTGCAGGGAGCATCAATCATGCTGTGCGGGAGCTCAATCACATCATATGCTGTGCAGGGAGCATCAATCATGCTGTGCAGGGAGCATCAATCATACTGTGCAGGGAGCATCAATCATACTGTGCAGGGAGCATCAATCATACCGTGCAGGGAGCGTCAATTATACTGTGCAGGGAGAATCAATCATACTGTGCAGGGAGCGTCAATTATACCGTGCAGGGAGCGTCAATTATACTGTGCAGGGAGCATCAATCATACTGTGCAGGGAGCATCAATCATACTGTGCAGGGAGCATCAATCATACTGTGCAGGGAGCATCAATCATACTGTGCCGGGAGCATCAATCATGCTGTGCAGGGAGCATCAATCATGCTGTGCAGGGAGCATCAATCATGCTGTGCAGGGAGCATCAATCATACTGTGCAGGGAGCATCAATCATACTGTGCAGGGAGCATCAATCATACTGTGCAGGGAGCATCAATCATACCGTGCAGGGAGCGTCAATTATACTGTGCAGGGAGCATCAGTCATACCGTGCAGAGAGTATCAGTCATACCGTGCAGGGAGTATCAGTCATACCGTGCAGGGAGCATCAGTCATACCGTGCAGGGAGTATCAGTCATACCGTGCAGAGAATATCAGTCATACCGTGCAGGGAGTATCAGTCATACCGTGCAGGGAGTATCAGTCATACCGTGCAGGGAGTATCAGTCATACCGTGCAGGGAGTATCAGTCATACCGTGCAGGGAGCATCAGTCATACCGTGCAGAGAGTATCAGTCATACCGTGCAGGGAGCATCAGTCATACCGTGCAGGGAGTATCAGTCATACCGTGCAGAGAGTATGTCATACCGTGCAGGGAGTATCAGTCATACCGTGCAGGGAGTATCAGTCATACCGTGCAGGGAGTATCAGTCATACCGTGCAGGGAGTATCAGTCATACCGTGCAGGGAGTATCAGTCATACCGTACAGGGAGTATCAGTCATGCCGTGCAGGGAGTATCAGTCATACCGTGCAGAGAGTATCAGTCATCCCGTACGATACATGGGCAGTATCAGTCATACTGTGCAGGGAGTATCAGTCATACCGTGCAGGGAGTATCAGTCATACCGTGCAGGGAGTATCAGTCATACTGTGCAGGGAGTATCAGTCATACCGTGCAGGAAGTATCAGTCTTACCGTGCAGGGATTATCAGTCATACCGTACAGGGAGCATACAGCATCCTGTCTAGGAGCATAAGTCAACACACACCGGCCACAGTGTGATACATTCTCACTATAGTACCGGGTGTTCCTGGGTTTACCGGTGATTTCCGCTGGCTATCTCTGAGTTCTGGTCATTACCGGTGGGTTCTGGATTTTAACTCGGCCCCGCAGTCCTCTGGGAGACCCAAAGGTGGTGACTGCCAGGTTTCGTGAGCTCAGAATCGTTAAAAAATATGCGCACTTACGTTCAGTACTCAATCTGATATATATATATATATATAATATATATATTATATATATATATATATATATATATATAATATATATATATATATATATATATATATATATATATATATATAAAAGCTAAACCTGATTGGGTCATTCATTGCAAGGCGGTGAGGCTTCGATCCTCCGTCATGTAGAAGGACACTGTACTTGTTATCACTAATATTTTCGTGATCCAGCGACGCTCACTTAATGCTCCACAAGGGTGGCAACGTTCAACGGACACTTGAGATCTCGCCTCGAGCCCCCTTCCGATCCGTTGAACAAACATGATACCGGATCCACTGCCAACACTGACACTCAATAACTTTCCGATATGAACACAAATACTGCTGAACCCCCCCCCTCCTCCCTTCCTTCATTATTTTGAACATAGCCCTGGTCTCTGCTGACTAAAACTCTGAGTTAATGTTGTGTAAACCTGGATTCCTTTGAAAGAACCCGTGATCCCATTTATCAAATCAGGGCCATCAATGAAAAAACTGGTGGTCTGGAAGAACAAACCACTGATTCTAACTGAACAAGTTTGCGGTACATTTGAACACATCCATAGGCCTGAACAAACTCGAGGCTCGGTTGATCAAATCCGTTGTCATAGTAAGCAAAACCGAGATTACGATGAAGAAAACCCGTAGCTCTAATGAAATTATCGCCGTCATTATTTCCCCGTATAAATGATATCTTGATGAAGAGAAATCAAAGGACAAAGAGGCGGTTGAGGGGACGAGAGTTGTGCACATTTTTAATGTGTTTAGCTACGGTGATGTATGCATGGAAAGGGATAGATGTTCACACGGAAGATAGATTAATGTAAGCACAGATTATTATTATTATTATTATATTATTATTATTATAATCATGGGGAGTGTTAAACCCATAGGATTATACAGCACATAGGGGGGGGGATGGAAGGCATTCGGCTCAATTCAGGGAACTGGAGCACAGATCCAATTCCCTAGATCAAGAGCCCCTCACCAGCGTCAAGGAACTTCTCTTGAGGGGTGTAAGCACAGAGAGCGGATTAATGTGCTCAAGAGGGTGGATGGTCAGCACTGGTATGCACAAGGAGAGTAGCTGGGCCATATTTTTTGTACACTGATGGATGTATGTAATGTTACGGTGTACTCTAGTTAGGGTGAATGAAACATTAGGGTGCATGGGCCACATTATTGTACACAAGGATAGTAGATGAGACACAATAGTGTACATAGAAGGCTGGATGGGCTATACTGGTGTGCACAATGAGAGTGGAAAGGCCATATTGGTGCAAACAAGTGAGGATGCACGGGTCATAATAGTGTACGCAAGCGAGGGTGGATGGGCCTTAATGACGCTCTTGGGGTTTGTACAGGATAATCGATGGAGAGCGGTAAGAGCCTGCAGTAGGATAAGGGAACCCACAATGCCCTGTATTTTTGTTTTTTTGTTACAGTGCAACTGCCGAACCATTTGTGGTCTCGACTTTCCACACTTTCAGCAACGAGGAAAATAAATATATCCACAATAAATATTAAAACTTCAGCTGGAGTACTGCAAAACTCTTCACTCCTCTGATATATTAATTTAGAAGAGCGTGATGAGCTCCTACAACCCGCTTTACAGCGTGCGTTAAACTCAGGCTGAATCCGGATTACCGTCCCCTGCCGTTATTAACTCCGGGTCGAGTGAGGAGGATTTTCCGGGTCATCACCCGTGTTAGGAAAGGTTATTGATCAAGGGCCTCGCTACCCCTCCATGTTAGTGTTAATGGTTTGCCAAGAGTGATATTTTATGGTTACACCCATGAACGATGAGTCGCTTCTCCTGAACTGGCATTCCCTGGGTCTAATTTGTGGTTGTCCCTAGTTAATGTCCGTGTAATTAAAGACATATTTGATGTTTTATGGACTAGAGTGAGGTACGTCAACGGTGAGACCTACGATAGCTCAGTCAATTGTCAAGGCGTTCATCAGTGCATCAGGGACACACAAAGAGTTTGTATAGAGCAGGCCACCCATACTTCATAACTGCACTTAACTTTCACCTCCCATATAGTTACGGGGCCGCTGCATCCGATTTCAAATTTACTACTACGTGATTTACCTGTTCTTAGCGGCTGCTGCTCTGTCTCGCTGCCGCCGATTCTTGAACCAGTTGCCAACTTGTGTAGGAGTGAGACCCGTGGCCGAGGCCAGCTCCCTCTTCTTGCTGGGGTTAGGGTAGGGATCCTGCAGATACCACTCTCTCAATAGAGATCTTGTGCGTTCCTTGAAGCAGTGGGTCTTCTGTTCGCCGTCCCAGATGGTCCTAGGAAAGGGAAACTTCTTGCGGACTCTATACTTGTCGACTGGGCCCAGCGGGCGACCACGAAGACGCTCTGCCTCCTGGTAGTGCGCCTCCAGCCACAGCGCCTGTAGCCGTGCGTGAGAAGGTTTCGAGAATCTGTGTGACTCCATGATAGCGTAGAGCTCTCGGAAGTTCCCCACGTGGAAGGAGACGAGGGCTCGCGCTCGCAGCACCGCCTCATGTTTGTTAAGGTCGTGAAGGTGCGGGTGAGCCACTGGTAACGACCACAAGAACCGTCCAAGACGCTCCATATCACCACTTTCTTCTAGAGTCTCGCAGACGGCGGCCACTTGGGCGGCGGTGAAGGAGAGCGAGGGTAGCGCCACAATCGGAGTGGGCACCACAGGGCCGCCAGAACCTCCTACGCTGCTTCCTGAGGAAGCACTTACGTTAGCTGCAAGGCCAAGCACCATTATGTCTCTCACATTCAACCGAGTTACACCACTGACAAATGCAAGGCAGTTCACCGTCACAATCACTTAACAGCAGCAACCGTGGTCATGCTAAACGCGCAAAAGAATCTGTCCATGAGAGAGCCTGCTCACCGTGTTGCTGTCGCGCCTCCCGCGGTAATAATGGAGTCCCGGAGAGGTAGTGAGAGGAGCAGTGACGTGGGGGCGGAGCCTTGCGCTGCACAGCTGCCGAACTGGAGGACCTCCACTCATTGGTCGCTCAATGCAAGGGTTTCCCGCCTTCGCAACCCTCCTCGCACTCATTGGCTTCGCGTCAAACCTTCAACCAATGGCGCCCCTAGTGGGCGGAGTCGGGCAGGTCCTCGGGTTTACCATCTCCGGGAGGCGGCGCCCGCGTGTCAACACCGCTTCCCGCCACAGCCACCAACTGGCCGAGGTCTCACTCTGGAATGCAAATAGCTGTGTATTGAGTTACAAAGTACATTGTTTTGTGGCCGATGTTTGACATTTCAGCTGACATACTTGTCCCTAAATGAAGTGGTTGGTCTCCGAGGTGGTGATAGACCCGGGTTCATCAGAGACTGTCTTAATAGCCCGGGCACGGATCACTATTACAGAGTTTATGGAAAAGAAAACTTCAGAGGTAAACTTGAACAGAGAGTGATAGATAATCACAACATTCTTTAATAATTATGGTTTGTTTTATTTCAACCTTTCTTACGATACTGGTGTGTGGGAGCCGAGCACAGACACAATACATGCCCACTCACAGATATACCTCCCAAATCATCTGTAAAGACTCTTTGTAAGACGTCTCAGTTCACACGTCATTGATGAAGACCAAAATTGTTTCCATTGACGTAGCCAGATATGATTAATTTTTTTATGAACTCTTCTGGCCCCAACTCTCCCCCACATCTACAATATGCCCTTGCCATACCTTTCATATTACATATCCAGGCCTCATTCTGTGACGTTTGGATGAGTATAATATCTGTTTAAAATTATGCACCACATTGGCCTAACTTTTACTGTGGTTGGCTGATTAGTATACTGAGGTGCAGCATCAGTAGTAGACTAGTAGAAGAAACAATAGCTGCTACCTACATTGCACTCACTCCATCCCCCATGCCACTCCATCCCCATGCCCCTCCATCCTCCACACCCACCACTCCATCCTCCACACTCCCACTCCATCTTCCATACCACCTCTCTATCCTATATGCTCCCCACACCCCCATACCATCCTTCAATCCCCTCTCTATCCTCTACACCCCGTCTATCTTCCATATCCCTTTCATCCATCACACCCTCCACTCCATCCTCCATATCTCCACCCATTCCAACTTGTACACCCAATTCACACCCAACCAGCACACCCAATCCACACCCACCCACTCCCCCCTGTAACTTAATCCACACCCACCCACTTCACCCTATATGCCCAATCCACACCCACCCACTCCACCCTGTACACCCAATCCATACCCACCCACTCCACCCGGTACACCCAATCCACACCCACCCACTCCACCCTGTACACCCAATTCACACCCACTCACTCCACACCCATCAATTCCACAACATCCTCTTTATGTCCAATCACTCCACTCCAACCACTTTTAGCTTACTCAATTCACTCCCACATATTTCACACCCGTCAACAGCACACCCACCTACCCACATCCACCAATTCCACATCCACCCACTCCTCCCCTCCACACTCACTATTCCACAAACTCCCACTACGCACTCCATACCCATCCACTCCACACCAACTCACGCTACACCCTCCAACTCTTCACCCATCCACTTCACACTCACTCCACATCCACTCACACCACATTCATTCGCTCAACATCTAATCCCTGCACCCTCCACATCCAAACACTCCATTCTGCATACTCACCTACTCTTCCATGTATCCTCCACGCCACCCACGCCATCCATTACCTGAAAGATACTTTCGGGAGTCAACGCCCCCGCGACCCGATCTCTGACTAGGCCTCGAGGTGGATCAGAGCTTGGTAACCCAAGCTGTTACTGCTGGTCACACGCAGTCCAACGCACGGCTGATCAAGAAATGACTAGGAAATTATCCAGGTCTCTCTTGAAGACAGAAAGTGGTTTACTGATAATCTACCTTATATACGATGGGAAGCTGTTGAGTAGTCTTGGGCCCCTTACGCTTATTGTGTTGTCTCTCGGTGTTCTCAAGGCACTCCTACTTTTCACTGGAATACTTTGGACACTGCCGAGCCTCTCGGTTTCTGTGTGCAGATTTGTGAAGTATTCCTCTAGGATTTTCCAGGCGAAAATTATAATTTACCTTTCTCGCCTTCGTTCTGAGGAGTACAGATCAAGGAACTTCAAACGTTCTCAATAATTAAGATGCTCGACTGGACTCATACGTGCAGTAAAAGTTCTCTGTACATTCTGCAGGTTAGCAATTTCGCCTGTACAGCAGTATACCGGCCTAGAGAGAACGAGTGACTTATAGAGGACCATCACTGGCTTGGTATCCCTTATTTTGAAGGTTCTCATTATCTATCCTATTATTTTCCTCGCGGATGTGATGATGACATTGTTGTGGCAGATTCATCCACACCAACCCACTCTCTCTCATCCACCAGGTCTATCATCCACGTCCACCAACTTTATCAATCCTATCTATCCATTTCACTCTTTGCTCTCCACCTTTCACAACCACCTACTCCACTCTCCACACTCACTTCACCCTTCACACCCACTCAACCCTCTACACCCACTCCATCCTCCACACCCACTCATCCCTCCACACCCACTCATCCCTCCACACTCACTCCACCCACCACACCCATTCCAGGCTTCCCTCTTTAACTTAATTACCTGCCAGGTGCTAATTAATCCCTCCCTCAGTGCTTCCGGTAATGCGTACACGCGTCATCTACGTCAGTGAATACCGCAGACTGCGTAACATCTTAATGAAGGGCTGTAAAGACGAATCTGCCGTGCATTTATTATGGGAGGGGCGACCGTGCGTGCTGACACAGATACACTCAAGATTATTCCGTGGTTACGCACGACTGTTAGGTATTACGCAAGATCGAGAGGTGCATTACGCAAGATTGTGAGGTGTGTTACGCAAAATTGTGAAGTGTATTACGCAATATTGTAGGGTACGTTACGCGGGACTGTGAGGTGTCTTATGAGAGATTGTGAGGTATGTTACGCAAGATTGTGTGGTGTCTTACGCATGATTATCAGGTTTATTACGCAAGATTGTGTGGTATCTAAGTAAGATTACGCAGTTTCTTACGCAAGTATGCAAAATTTCGATGTTATTCAACTAACCTGAAGTGCGTGGAAAGACGAGTGCTTGTGTAGATGAGTGAATGTGGATGAGTGCATGGGTAGATGAGTGCATGTGGATGAGTGCATGGGTAGATGAGTGCATGTGGATGAGTGCATGAGTAGATGAGTACACCAGCAGATTAGTGTAGATGAGAGTATGGGTAGATGAGCGCATGGTTAGATGAATGCATATGGATGAGTGTATGACTAGATGAGTGCATGAGTAGATAAGCGCATTTCTGGAATAGTGCATGTGTAGATAACGTTATAAGTAGATGAGTACATTCGTAGATGAGTGGATGTTGTTGTAGGCAAAGGTTAACGTGTATGTTTCATGTGTGTGTGTGTGTGTGTGTGTGTGTGTGTGTGTGTGTGTGTGTTGTGAGTACCGTCTGCATGTCACTGTCTACCAGATTATCTGTATGACTGCCCATCTGTCTGTCTGAACGTGTATTATTCCAACCGTCAATTTGACGGCATGTCTGCCTACCAGCCTTTCTGCCTTCCTGTCTGTCTGTCTGCGTGTCTGTGTTCCTGCCTACCTGTCTGTCTGTCATCGTGCTGCCAGCTTACCTGTCTACTTCACCCATGAAGGTCTCCCTAATCCCCTCCCCCTCCCCCTCCCCTCCCCCTACCCCTAGTTCAACAGAACATCCCCCCCCCTGCGCACGATTCTTCATGTAGCACACACACAGAACAACGAAATTACGGGTGAGAGTCGAACCTGTGTTAGTGAATACCTTGTGCAACCTGCGCCACCAGGCACGCTCACGTCTAGTGTCACTTTCGTATGCATACAGTGTTTGTTTCGTACATATTGATGTTTCGCACATATTCCTGTTTCACACGTATTATTATCGCCTGTTTCACACACCAGTATGGAACCTATACCTGGTCAAGCACGTTAAGAAATTATAGAAAGTGCAAATGTTTGCAACAAGACTAGTCCCGGAGCTGAGAGATATGTCCTGCAAGGGGAGGTTAAAGGAAATCGACCTGACGAAACTGGAGGACAGTGGAGATAGGGGGGATATGATAACGACATACAAAATACTGAGAGGAACTGACAAGGTAGATAAGGACGGAGTGTTTCAGAAATATGACGCAGCAACGAGGGTTCACAATTGGAATTGAAGACTCATATGAGTCGAGTCACAGGGATGTTAAAAAGTTTTTGTTCTGCCATAGAGTTGTAAGGAAATGAAATAACCTGGTGTGATGTAGTGGAGACAGGATCCATACATAACTTTATAAAGTGATACAATAAAGCTCATGAAATAGGCGGGGCCAGGAGCTGTGAATCGACCCCTGCAACCACAAATAGGTAAGAACACACACATCTTGTTGGACTGCAAGAAGGCTTTCGACACAATACCACACGAGAGACTGGTTGAAAAGCTAGAGGAGCAGGCAGGAAGAGTAGGTAAAGTGCTGCAGTGGATCAGGGAATACCTGATAGGAAGGAAACAACGTGTGTTGCTACAAGAAGAAGTGTCAGAGTGAGTGCATGTGTCGAGTGCGGTTCCACAAGGGTCAGTCCTAGGCTCGGTACTGTTTTTTGTATATGTGAATAACACGACGGAAGGGATAGATTTAGAGGTGTCCTTGTTCGCAGACGATGTGAAGCTACTGAGGAGAATACAAGAGGAAGAGAATTAGGAAAGCCTACAAGGAGATCTGGACAGGCTCCAAGCCTGGTCCGACAAATGGCTCCTGGAGTTTAACCCCACCAAGTGCAAAATTATGAAGTTTGAGAAAGGACAAAGAAGGCTGCAAACGGAGTACAGCCTAAGAGGTCAAAGACTACAAAACTCACTCAAGGAAAAGGATCATGGGGTGAGCATCATACCGAGCACATCTGAGGCACACATCAACCAACTAACTGCTGCAGCATATGGGAGCCTGGCAAACCTGAGAATAGCGTTTAGACATCTAAATAAGGAGTCATTCATTCATGACACTGTACACCCTGCACGTCAGACCCACATTGAAGTGGAAGTAGGTCGTGCCCAACTGTAAGGCAACAGAAGAATTCCCGATGGAAATAAATGGTATAAAATACCGACACTTGATGGACTGAACACATCGACTCCAGGTTGAGGGACTGATTACCTCATTCTCCTCCTCTCCTTACGCCTTCCTCTTTGTATTGGACTGATGAAGCCACTGTGTGGCGAAACGTTTCCTCAATAAAGATACCCAAGAGTTGCACATGTGTCTAATTTATCAACACCTAGCTGATCGCCAGAATTGTACATAAACCACATAACGTAAGCAAACCGCAGAATAACATTCAGAAACTTTAACAAAGATCTCTCAGAACCTTGTACACGACACATATTAGGTCAATAATTGAGTGCGGAGCCCCAGCATGGAGCCCACACCTGGTCATGCACGTGAAGAAACTAGAAAAAGTCCAAAGGAGTATAACCAGTGTAGCACCAGAACTATGAGGAGACAAGCTTCATTATCTCAGAGAAGGAAAGGTCAAGCGGGAACATGATTACTACGTACAAAATCTTTAGAGGGATTGACAAGAGCAGATTGCTTGAATTAAAAATGTTAAGAACAAGTGGACACAGGGGAAAGCAC